CAAATAACCAACGAAAGCTACCAAAGCACAAATAAATTCAGCAAGAGTTCATATTCCATACAAAAATGGTAATGATTTCTAAAAAGTTGTCTTCTCTTACATATACTCTCGAGTATAACTTTGTTTTGAATCTGTGTTTAGGATAAAAATGTTAAGCAGACAATCGACTTTTATTAAAAATATTTGTCATCAAAGTGTGCAGCTATCTAGACACATGTCAAATGAAACTTGTTATAGCGTTATCTCGTTCGCATTTCGCTGAAAGGACGGGGGTCGATAAGAGGCAAAATCGGTCCCCTCTCAGATCAAGCTCATATTCACCAGTCTGATGTAGTTTTTCTCGCTGATTAAAACTAGCATCTCAAAAAACCCATTTTCAGTCCTCCTGGAAAAAATTCCGCATCCAAACTTTTCTCCCGTTTAATGAACTTTATTTAGGATATTTTCCCAGTTTCTCCTCTTTGCCCAAAGAAAACCTAAACTACTGTACATCATTCGATATAGAATTCCGCGAGCTACAAAATGATATATATTATATTGAGGGCAAATGGGACTTGGGTGTCCTAACACGAGAAATACTAGTCCCCACCTCCACAAATCCATAGGTCAGCAGCGTTTATCGCTTATATTGTCCAACCAGTTTATCGTTAACCACGCCACTTTATATATCATTCGATAGAGAATTTCGCAGGCTTCAAAACTGCGTATTAATAAGTCTTTGAAAACTATGCCCACATGGACAAATAGTTGAAATACGTGGCCGATATAATGATTTTCAACTATCTAAGTGCTTTAAACACTCCTTTGGTAAGTTTTCTGCCATAATGAAAAAGTATGTATTTTGCGAAAACATACCATTGGATAGCCCTTGAAGATCTCTACAAAGTGAGCTGATCAGAACATCCAAAAAGGTGGGTTTAGTCATTAAAGATATGGAAAAGAAGAGTTGGGGTATTATCTATGTAGTACTGTGTGTCATTATCACAAGAACTCCTTTCTTTTTGATATTTTGGCAACAGCTGAAACCAATCTAAATACTGTTTTGAATAGCCCGAACATTTTTCTATTAGATGTGGTGCATATTGTCGTTTAATGAGAAAAGTTGATAATAGGGTTTCTAGAAAACCTGTCCGCTGGAAAACTAAGTCCTTGTTCTTTTGTCAGAAAAATTTTCAAGCCACATAGCCTGATAGAGCATACAATTCTGAGTAAAACAAGATATGTTCTGGCTGTTTATAATGATTTTTAACTGGAATCTTTTGCTAATTTTCACGGTCTTTGTAGCCCTTTCTAAATCGAGTGCACTTGCGTGAAAAATCATTATTAAGAATAAAGGTCTGTAACTGACCTGCATTAGGGCGATTATCCCACCTAGGGGAGAGAATAGCTTGAAAATTTTGTTGAACAGTACTTGCATCATGAAACAGTACTACGAATTTAGATTTTTCACCATTTGCAGTAGGTTTTCCAAATTTTTCTTTCGAAAATATGTATAGTTCTTGAGTTTTCCGGGCCAGTGGAGCGCATAGTGTGTGAGTAAGCTGTTGATTTTAAAGCCGCCCCAACACTGTCACGTGGTCCTTTCCCATGAGATGTACTGAAGAAAACCCATTTAGCAGTCAAAATAAAATCTTCTACATGAAAGGATAGATTAATCATGTTGTAGTTGTTTTTAAAGTGACAGGCGCATCCATCGCTCAAATATATAATTTTAGAAATAAATGGATACGTAGATTTCACAAAATCAGTTATTATTTTTTGTGCTGAATGTACAAAGGCAGTATCGTGGCTCATATAGTCAGATAAAATTGCCAGGCTAACAGTCTAAACGGTAAGAAACCTAGAACTGACACATATTGAAATCTTCGCAGCTGTGAGGTCATGTAATGATGAACGGGCCTGAATGGAAGTACCCTTTGACGCACAGATGATAGCGGCATAGTTCCAGAGCACCTCATTCACAGGATGCTAGATTAGCTGGCAACGAACTGTTCATAGTGTTAGTATTTCTCGAATACACATACTCTGTAAGTACAAGTGTGATGTTTCGTCACATACAGCAAACGTTTCCTTACGGTAAAACCCATAGACGAACAATACGATATCAATCTATTTCACGTATATTTTGAGATCTAATTCCAGTCGCATGGCGAACCAGAATTGAAAAATATAGATTAATACCGTTAGATCAACGGTTGATGAAGTATTGACTTGCGAATTTGATTTTTCAAAATACCTTCTGACTTAGCTGCACTTCAAAAAAACATTTAGTTCAACTTTCTAGCAGTAATTTCTTCTTTTTTTTTTCCTACCAAGAGAGAAGAGAAATAACAACAGTGTTCTTTTAGTGTCTTTCACTTATCGATCAATTCATTCTCTATTCTAGTTTCTGTTATGTTCTGCAGGAATTAAAAGGCAAATTTCTTTCGTATTTCTCATTTTAGTTGCGTATGAATATGACTGCTTACCTGTAGGCTATTGAAACGGAATTGATCTTTTTCGTTTTTTCTTTTTCTCTCACATATTCAGTTGACGTACACATGATTAACCGTTTTAACGGAATTTTCCACTCTATAAATAACAACTGTAGTTTATTTTTTTCGTCGTAGGACACTACGGCTTATATATTTATTCAATACTTTGTGGAGTTTATATGACACAAGCACGTCTCCCCCAGCCTAAATCTAGGGCATGGACCTGGACACATGCAAATGGCAAGTCAAAAGCTCAGCTCGATCACATCCTTATAAACGGTAAATGGCTGAACTCTTTAAAGAATGTGAGAGCATAGAGCACAGTCGAACTGAATTCAGACCACCGAATCGTCACCACGGAGAGATTCAAGTCAGCTTTCGAGCTCCAAAAGCAAGCCAATGCAAACGTCTAAAGTATGACTGGAACAAACTTGAACAAAGTTCTATACTACAAGCCGAATTCAACATCGAAGTTCAAAACAAGTATGAGATCCTATTTGCTGAAAATCCAGACAAAGATATTCAAGCAAAGTACGATAACTTCGAAAATGCGATAGAGCAAACAGCAATCAACCTTGTTGGGACTGTCAAAGCAAAGAAACAAAAGAACTGGGTCACCTTCAATACAATCGAGCTTCTAAAGAAGCGTAACAAGGCAAAATCAGCACACCAGCGCAACCCAAGCTCCGAAAGTAAGGATTATCTTAAATAACTAAATGAAATACTCGACAAGTCGTACGAAAATGGCGAAATTCAATTCCTTGCGAACAAACTCGTCCTTCTAAATCAAGTAGCTGCACCAAATAAGCTAAAAATGATGCGGGCTATGATCAACGAAATAAATAGCAAAAGCGAGAATAACATCACCGCGAAAGTCAAGAAAGCAGATGGGACTAAAATCAACTCAACTGCTGAACTCATGAGCAAGTGGAAAACCTACTTTCAAGACCTGCTCAATGTTAAATCAAATAGCTCACAAAATGCCGAAGCAATTATAAGCATTTCTGTTTCGCGAATTCGATCCAATCTTCTTGTTCCTTTTCTTTAGATGGCTTACAACTATCACAATCAAAATGATTCCAGCACAAGAACTCAGTTTACTCGTAAGTCAAATGATCAATATTCACATACAACCGGTGATACTTCTGGAGTGACTATTTTTCTGTAGAATGACTTACGTTAGTTCTTATATGCAAAAACAAACCGTTTTGCTAGTCGAAATGAAAAAAATTCAATTTTTCAAGTTAAAATCAACACCAAGAAGGAAGGGATCTGTTTCCCAGAGCATTGTTTTGATAGACAGAATTTCAAAATCGAGCGGTAAATTTGTATTTTTTGGGAAACGGCATTGAAAAGAGAACGATTATTGATTTCGTTAAAAAAACATTTGGCTTTTCAGTTTCACCTAACCAGAATACTATCATGTTTTCCCGACGTTATTCCATAGGTTTGCATCATTCCATGGTGGCAACAATGTAGTTGTATTGAGGTGTTTATCATGAAGAATCTCAGGTTTAAATATATTGATGCTTCTTGACTTTTTTACGTTTTTAATGAAACATAGTATATTAAAAATTATAGAAAAGAATTTAAGTAAAATCATTTTACATACAAACAGCGAGCTTTCGACACTATCACAGTATCATCATCAGGCGAATGACTTTTGAGAGAGAAGAGAGACAAATATATACAGAGATTTTTCTACAAGGAATTTTCTAGTTGGGATTTCTCGATTTTTCTACTTTTTCTTTTTTTTTCTCGTCTAGTTAAATGTAACCGTCTTTAGTGGTATATCATTGTATGTCAGGTTATTATGTTGATATGTTATCAGTGTCTCCTTTAGTCATCTTTTGATTTCATTTCTTTCATAAGTCAAAACACATGGTTTGTCAAGTGCTAATGTGTGATTGTTTTCAGTGGCATGAAGGAACAGTTTTGAATAGGGATCTACTTTGTTTAGTGTCTTTTTATGTTGATCCATTCTAGTATCAATTTCATTTTCAGTTTGACCGACGTAAATATTAGCACAATCATTACACTCTATACAATAGACAACGCCTACTTTCCTTTCATCTTTGCCTTTATATTTATGTGAGAAAGCACTGCCTATTGTTTGATATTTTTTAAAACCGAATCTAATGTTTGTAATTCCATATTTAATCAAAGTTCTTTTTATGCTCGATACAAATTTTCTTGACTCGTTACCCAGGTAATAGAAACAAACAGTGCCTTCTACTTTGCCTTCAGATTTATTTGCGTACTTCGACGGGTTAAAAAGGATATTATTAGTATATCTTTCGAATGTCGTTTTAATAATTCTTTCGAACAATCGTGCTGGATATCCGTTTTCATGTAGCACCATCTTAATCCAATTGATTTCAGCATTTAATAGAGTTTCTTCTGAACAAATCCGAATTGCTCGAGTGATAAGTGATTTTATTAGAGCGCTTTTCTGATATTTTGGATTGCATGAATCCCATTTCATGTATAAATGAGTACATGTTTTCTTTCTGCAGACTGATGCTTTTAAATGAGTACATCTAAGAAAGCTAATTTATTATCTTTTTCTAGCTCAACAGTAAATTTTATGTTAGGATGAATACTGTTGATATTATTTAATAATACTAGTACGTCATCTGTACATCCATTAAGTATAATTAGAATATCATCCACGTAGCGAATCCAAGTTTTCGTTGATTGATCATTCTGCGGTATTAGTATGTGTTCATTTTCTAATTTTTCCTCAGGTTTAAGTGATAAAATAAAGTTACCATGTTTGCTAGCGCCATTGCTGTTTAGATCAGCTGTTAATAGTTCCATAAACGTAGATGATCACCAACTATTCTTGAACAGATACACGGCGCATCATCCATTAAAGCACGCAAACAGGCACCGAACATTCAGTCTCTCTGATGTCGAGCTTTGAACAATTTCCAATTCTTTTCAAATCGATGTATTGAGCGTTTTTAACCATAAACGATTTATTTATTCTTGTATGTATACATACATTTAATTTCGTATGAATAGACTTTACAGTCAAGGGAATAAAGTAAATGAAAAAATTTACTTTGTTAGGAGGAATTTTCGACCTTAGATATTCGTTCTTTTGCAGTCCATAAATTTTGAAGTCCATATTTTTTTTTGAAGTCAATAAATTTGGATGATTACATAGAAAAGCTGAATTCATTTTTCGATGCCAAGCTTCGACATTATTATTTGTTTTATGTGTATTATTTAATACTCGATTACGCATATTCCAAAAGTCAATATTGAAAAGAGGTTGTCTTCTGATTGCACCTCGTATTCGTCCTAAAAAGAATTAAAACGAAACAGCTTGTAAAAGAGGGGTAATCCTAGAAGAAATCGACTACTTCGGCAAGACTTACCAATATATGTACCTTCCATATAATCGAGAATGTCCTGGTAAGTATCATCTAAACGTGCGCACAATGTTTCGAAACCATCAATAACAGAATCAGGTTCAAGAAAAGCTAAAGCGGGAATTTTATGAATATTATCTGAAAATGTTAAATCAGTTTCGTATTGTTGTTTTAAACCATGAGTCTGAAACGAAAAAAAAGTGTCAACCTTAATCATTTGTTTTTCTATGACTCGTAGCCATCTCTACCCTTAGAAGGTGCATCTCCCCCATTCTCCCCCATTCTATACGCATATTTTTGTCAAGAAATGTACCTGTAAAGATCGAAGAATACTTTGTTGTAAATGAAAATAGCAGCCACTGAGTTCTGCTGATGGAAAGCTGCTACCAAATGTATTGATCAATGCTTTTTCAAAATCCATCATTATTTTCTGAGGATGCCAATTTGGTGCAAATTCTATTATTTCATTGCCCATCTTTTGGTATATCTTACCACACTTGTTCGGTAAAAGTGAAAATACAACAGGAAATACATGATCTCGATAAACAGCATGTATTACAAAAAGTTGAAAAAAAATTTCTGGCACAATTTTAAATGTACCATCGATGAAAAAGTCCTAAAAAGAGAAGCATTGAATAATAGTACCTGTAATGTAATCTCCGATAGAATACTGTTTTTTTCCTAAATTGACAACTGACGCAAAATCATTATCCCGCTATAAATAAAAGGAAATTCATCAATTTGTCAGTTGATCAAATCGAAATTTCTTTTCTATTGATTGAATCAATTTGTCAGTTGATTAAATTGTATTTTCTTTTCTAGCTAATCGAATCAAATTTTAAAATTAATATTCATTATTAATCAAACTATATCAATATTCATGAGCAATTGTCCCTGTGAGCAACTGTCCGTGTGAGCAAAGGTACATATGAGGAACCGTTCACGTGAAGAAGTATCTTTGTGAGGAAGCGTCCATTAGCAACTGTCCGTTTCCCACTTTTTTCGCAGGATAGGATAGAATAGATTACGCAAAAAATATTACAGGTTACGGGGTGTAAGGTTGTGGTTATATTACGCGGTATTATCACCGCACTACAGAAACGGCGCCAAATATGAAAGACATTGGTTTTGTTAGCCAATTTTCTTTACATAACGGTTAATTAAAAATACGCGCTTATCTCAGACGTTCGCCATAAGAAAATCATGTATAATCTCTCTCTCATTTTGCAATCCTCTTCTCCATCCTAGTGACATCATGTTTTACTCGGACTTTTCTTCGAGAACACGATGTAATAAAGTTTTGATATAGAAAATACCCCATTTCTTGTGCAAGAATCTTG